ATTACCATTCATTATAGCAGTTATGTCAATCTTTTATGCACTCGTGGGATTAACTTAGTGCTAGGGCATTGAATATCGAACAATACGTCAATTTCAATGATTTTGGGTTTTTTTGAGACACCCTGTACATGGGAGGCGAGCAGTATAAGTATACCCAGAAATTTACTTGGTGAACACCAGAACCAGCCGACAAAGTGAAATAAAGTAAAAAAATAGGCACGGTGAACGTACATGTATATATGCGCAGAGTGAATTTTACTATAGTTGCTGTGAAAAACTGCATTCAATTTTGCGATACACAATACTGTATACAGGGTGTATCAAAAAAAGCGCAACCTCGGAATTTCCCAAGACATCGACATTGTTTTAAAGACAAAAGATTTTAGGCGCCTGGGAATGTAAAATAGCATAACTGTCAAAATTACTGCACACGTGAGTGCATAAAGCAAAATTTATGCATTTATTTAATGCACAACAACAGTAATATGATCTATTAGCAATTCGATTTCAATTCCCAGGGGCCTAAAATCTTTTATGCTTAAGAATTGCAAAGTAATTTCTTAGGAAATTCCGAGGTTGCGGGTTTTTTTATACACCCTGTATAGACCATGCAACTTGCTGAATTACCGGAGCGGATAACATACATGCATAGCCTCAACTTCATTCAATGATTTATTTTTAATTTTGAGCCAAAGTCGATATAACTCTCTACATAAAATATATGACAATGGTGATCATTATAGCTACTTGCTTTTGGACAAGTTTCTTAGGCCTGTTTTATACGTCGGATTTTGGTCGCGTCGAATGCAATTAAGACAATAGATAATGAGATGATAAACTTCATTAAGCTTCATTACCTATTGTCTTCATTGCATTCGATGCGACCAAAATTCGACGTCTAAAACGGGCCTTAAAATTACTAATGTGGGTACTTATTATGTCGTTAATTATAGACAAAAATTGTGGTGGAACTGAATGGTATATTGTTGTCGTATCAATTGTGTCTGGGATTATCATTGGAATTCTTCTTTCCTATATTGTCTCGTGTTCTTGTCGTAAATTTAGAAGTAGAGAACCTCAGTCAAACCCTAAAGCACAAACAACTGAAGTTGATACGACTTATCAAGAGCTTGATCTTTCAAAAATGAACACAGAGGATAATTATCAATCATTGAGAGTGAATCCTGCAAGTAATGACGCTGCGGCAAATGACGATGACTCTACTTACATGCAGTTGAGCAAAGCCAGAGATGTGGAGGACAACTACCAATCTTTAACTTGAACCTGGAATATTATATTTAGGTTCAAGGCAGCCTCGTCTTTAGTATGAATAATGAGGTCACTTGTGACAGATTTTGTAAAACTACGGACAGTAACCAGACTACCAGAATAATATTTATACAGGTGCTACATGCGGAGTCAAGGTTATTCAACTGTGGGTATTACAGTTCAATAAGAATAGATAGCCCGCCGCTCGACAGTGATATATTTTTTGTTTTCTATAATTACTTTAAAGAGCTGAGGTTTGTGTAATTTTCGTGACTAGATTTGTTTATGAGTAAACAAAATTAGCTTGTCGGGATGATGAAAGATTGGCTTACAAGTGGCTTACAGCTTTTTGGCGGCTCTTTTGAAATGGCTGCCCCGGCCCGCCACTTAATTCACATTGCTTCTGGCGCCACTGTGTCAACTGGCAAGTTTTTTGCATGGCTGCTCTTGATGTCTTTGTTTTTATAGTGCACATTGCTCATCAGGCTCAAGGGTATAAAGGCGCCAGGTGATAACTGATTAAAGATTATGCTTCAAAGAATAACTTAGTCAGTAAGTATTGGCCCTAGTGCTCAGTTTTCAATTATGATATAGTATACAGTATACTCATCCAGAAGATTATTTGATCCTTGGCCTAATGGCCATTTGTTCCACAGATTTTCGGTTATTTTCGTATTAAACTGTTGATAATCTTTCAGCTGACATACAAAACACAAACATGCATACAAAGTCACGAACATATGAATTAATCATAACGTGTGTTTCATATTTGCATATCAAGTTTCAATCAGTTATCGAAGCCGGAAGAACTTCACACCATACAAGACAACGCACCATATTATAGCGTTTATTGGCGAATTTTACAGGAATACTACTTGTAGCAGGTATGTAAGTATGTCATATTTATTATAATAGACAGTTGATGTTACTCGTATGAAATTATATGCATTGAATTTCATTGCAACCGAATATAATATCAAATATATTTCCTTACTCAGCTGGTTTGTGTACTGTGTACTAAATAAATGTAATCCCTAGTAAAGAACATTTGCAACATTTCTGATTTGGGAGTATAGTGTGTTCATCTGGGGCAGCGACTTACGATTTCAGATGACCCCCATTAGAAGTATCTAAACTTCTTAAAGAGTCTCAAGCGTTTGTGAACATCGTGAATAGAATTTGTTCAAGGATTAAATCTATTTCCTAAACCACGATAACTGTATACAGTATACATCCATGCACACTACTGTATATAGACATATATAGACCTAGTAATAATTTAGAATACCTCAAAAATTACAGTGGAACGTCATTCCATGTATGCCAACTGAAAACATACCGAAGTAAACACTGTCTGTATGCAATGAACAGTTCTCATTACATACAGAACACGAACGATCAGAACAGTTTGGCAAGAATACAAACTATATACTGTTTATACTGAGAAATTTATGTCTCTATAGCTTTTAGCTGCGATATGTTTTCTAAAAATATGTGTCGACAAATTTTCACATGCGAGGTGTATATACATGAAGTACTCTCGAAAAAACGGGGCGGTTCGACTGATTATTTGGATTTCAAAATACTTGAAATCGATATTTAATTAAAATACCAACATTATTCCCATTGTAATTGTTTATCCTAGTTATTGCAATTATTCTCAAGGCTAGATTTATTCACTAGCCCACTTTGGCCAACCTAGCCAAACCAGTCGGCAGTTCATGGGCAGTGGGCAGTGGCATGGCTATAGAACCGTACTAATTATACGACGAAGGAGTAAAACCGGTTATCAAAGACATGATTTTCCCCTAGATATTCCTGCATTAAATGAATTGGAAAAGTCACATTTGAGGGGTCCGAGTCACCTTCTTTCCTCTAGCTCTTTGACTTTGAAAAGTTCTGATGTAATTTTGATTACAACTATTACATTTAGATAAAGAGACACTATCAGAACACTATTTCTTGCATTCTCAAAATTTCATTTACGCTGCATGATGCTGGGAAAATTCCAATGTTATTTTGAGCGGAAATTCTGCATAAGACACCATTTTTGCCGCAATCTCAAAATCAATACTTTTCATAAGTTACAGTCAGATTGCAGAATAAGTTTGAGAAGAAATATTCGTGTTATGACAATGACATACAGCTAAAAAACTAACTCACGGATGAGGTCAACTGAAAGTGACAGATGACTTCTTTTGCCGAATCAAAAGAACGAACGCGTGATCCCGACCGATATCCGGTTCTGAAAGGCCAATTCGCAGCAATTTCCCATTGTTTAACTGCCCCACACTCAAGTAACTGCAAAGACTCGCAGATGTTGCTTCGCAACATTCGTGAGTCAAAAACGCTGTCTTTCTAAGACCTTAACAATCCCCCCTCCCCATAAATAATGACCACTCCCTAATCCCAACCGGAAATACTGTTTCAAAACGTCAAAACAATGTGACGTTTGTAGGGGGGAGGGGGCGATTGCTCCCCCTTGCCTCCCCCCCCCCCCCCGTT